TAATTAATAACATTCAAGTAGCATGAGGTGGTTATAGTGTCACAATTATGTTATTGGCAAAATTGATGTATTTAAGCTATCATACATTTTTTAAGGAATTGTATCTTATTGACATAATTAATCACGTTTACTGAAAATATGTTGAGACCTTTTTGCTTGAGATTTCATTCTCAATGTATGATTAGTTAACATTAGTTGAAGGAAAAGTTTCTTCGTTCAAAAGTTACTGCCATTCTAAACAAGTATAAATAAGGACTGTGTTGCAAAGCTCGGAGGATATCAGTACGATCCTCTATTACTGGTCAACACATGCTTATTTGATATGTTTTAATAAACATCTTATCTGGGAGTCTGAAGCCAAAAGGGTTATTTTCTCCCTTCAAAAAATAAAAACGGCACATCAAAAAAAAAAATTAACCAAAAGGGTAAAATCGCTCCTGATGGAGCGATTTTCTTCTGACAAAAATTGACTGTTAAAAGAAATAAAAATCGCTGCCTTAGCAGCGATTTTCTCAAAAAAATAATCTTTTTTTCTTCAAGATTTTGGTTAAGAATTTAAAAAAATTAATTAATTAATTAATTTAATATTCTTTTATTATTATTTATGATATAGAATTCAATTTTCCTCATGCTTCAACAATTTTTTTTAGTATACTGTCCGTCTTGTTATCATTTTTATATTATTAATAATTAACAATAGGCATGAAAATAATAGCACTAGGCATGAAAAACGCTGCCTCTGCAGCGATGTGTAAGGAAAAAAAAATTGCTAACTTAAAATCGCTGCTACAGCAGCGATTTCTAATAAAAGAATTTTTTTTTCTTTTTACAAAATCGCTGTCAGGGCAGCGATTTTTCGTCATTGTGTCAGAGGAAAATCGCTTCGTCAGGAGCGATTTTGCCCTTTTAGTTTTAAAAAAATTTGATATGCCCTTTTGAAATTTTTGACAATTTTTTTTTACCCTTTTAACTCCAGACTCATAAAATTAGTGTCATTATTTAAAATATTGGCATTGAGTTGGATTTCAAATTACTTACTTTAATCCCATTATCTAGAGAGTTGAGACAGAGAGAGAAGAAGTGCCATTTGACACCATGAAAGCAACACAAATATATACAAAAGACAAATTATAAGGACTGAATTAATCAAAATGTCAGAATTTAATAATCTCCCAATAGTTGTCTTTGGGATAGAGTCAAAATTTTATCATAATTATTAGCAATAACCTTTCAAGATTGTTCAAATTTTGGAGTCATGTCAAAGAGTCCATTGTGTGATATATAATTCGTATTTGAAGAATACAATATACGTGGTAGATGAAAATTATGAGGAATCTTCGGTTAGGGATGGCAATGGGGAGGGGCAGATGCGGGGCGGTGTGGGTTTAAGACTATGTGGGGCGGGGTGGGTTTAAGGTTGTGCGGGGCGGGTGGAAGTGGGGTTTTTTAAAACTAATGTGGGGCGGGGTGGGTTGTGGGTATATGTAATTTTATGTGGGTTCAAACTTAATTTTAACTTTTTACATGTTATATGAGTGATAAAACATTATATATTAAGATAATTTCTTTAAATCTACTAAAATATTCAAGATAGTAAATGAAAATGGTTCAATAAAAAATAATACATTTTTTTTTACATATTTCCCAATTGACCTCTAATTTTTTTTTTTTTAAGTCACTATCCTATTAAATTAATAGGACTTAAAGAAAAAATGAATTTATTTTTAGTATCAAATAGAGCTGTCAAAAAGGGCTGACCCAGCCCCACCCGGCCCAAGCCTCGCGGGCCAAGGAATTTGAAGGGCTAGGGCAGAAAATGCTCAACCCAGCCCAATCCTAGAAGGGTTGAGGGCTGGGGCGGGCTAGCCCTTTTTTTTTTTCTTTTTTTTTTCTTTTCGAACTTATAATTCTATAACATCAAGAAAATGAGAAGATTTTCAAATCAAATATGGCAAACAATGGTGTAGTTTTAATAACACTAACAAAAAGTCTAGTGTAATTAGCATGTATCTCGCATACCATAGACACGAGCGAGATAAGAGCGTGACAAACAAGATTGGAGGGAGGCGAGGGCGCGAGATTTGTCTATGCATCCTAGATACATGCGAAATCTACTTTGATAAAGTGTATCTAGAACAAATTAATCTAATTTTGAGTCCATATATTCCGAGATACATGTATCTGGACGTACCAAAATTTGGTAAAATTCATAATATTACAACATAACGCGTATTTAAGTAATTAGATTATATACTAGTGGGATTATTGTAAGTTACCCTTAAATAAAAAGTTTTGGCCCATGGGCCGACCCCGATCAAGCCTCAAGGGCTAAGGGCTTATATGGGCCGGGCTTATAAGCCCTAGTTTTAAAAGGGCTTGAAAAATCTTATCCCAACCCTACCCCAATAACGGGTTGGGTTGGGCCTGCCCCATGGGCTAAGCCCATGTTGACGGCTCTAGTATCAAACATAACTATAAAAAGAAAATATTAAAAAAATTATGCAAAGCGGGTTCATGCGGGGCGGGTCTATGCGAGGCGGGGTGGAGCGGGTTGAAAATGAAAAAAATTGTCATGCGGGGTGGGTTAAAATTTTTGCGGGTTAAGCTCAACCCGCCCCGCCCCGCCCCACACCTTCCCCATTGCCATCCCTATTGACAGGCAGCCCAGGCTACCAAAAATGTAAAAAGAACCATGTATTTTGTGGAGACTTATCATAGGACCAAATGTCTCTTTGAATATCTTCGTATTCATTTTACTTTTCTTCGCTTGCTCATTCTGGAGGGCCATATGTATTAGATTTCTCTATAATTGTATAAGTGAGTTATATTGTCCCAGGTATACTAGAGTTTTCAAAGTTATCAGCTAGCCATTGCGTCCATATTACTTGCTGCTGATGCTGTTGTAATTTTCTTAACAGTTGTGTGCTTGGATTCATAATCTCCCGTAAATTGTAATGGCATAAACATTTTGATAAGTGGTAAATTTCATTGCTCAACTAAGACCAAAGGTCTAAACATTATTCTCAAAAAAAAAGAAAAGAAGGTCTAAGCAGTTAATAAAGATTGCAAATTGCTATCTATTCATACAAAAATGGTATTTTGAAGGGTTTGGAGAAACAACTAGGGGAAGTGCTCTGATGTATGGTTCAAACTTGATGATAAATATTTTCTACCAAATACTTGCTTGACACTTAAGGAACTGTGTAGTTTCAACATGAAATTACGCAGAACCATGAAACTCCTTAAGCTGCTTTAAAAGAATACATTTGAGAACTACTAAAGGTTGTGATCCGAACTGTTCCCTCCAACTAATTCCCCTTCAGAACTGCTGCAAAATTTAGTTAATTGAAGGGGCAAGATTTTGATTGTCTTAGATATCTGAAGAATTCATTCAACTAACTTTAGACATGTTACAGATGCTTGATGATTTTGTGGATGTGACCAAAGATGAAAAGCAAATGATGCATCTGTGGAACTCATTTGTTAGAAAGCAAAGGTACAGTCTTATTTCGTGTGTGGTTTTATTTTCTAATATGGTTTTCCCTAATATTATTAAGATTTAAGGATACAGTGGTATGGAGATATGTGCATCTTCTGCTCTTATTTTCGGTAGGGTGAAGCGGGAGGTCTGATGAAGTAATAGATGGTGGGTTACCTAGGAATGTAGTAAAAGTGCAACTCTCTGCAATTAGCTTCTCCAACTTTTCCTGGAAATACATGGAGTGATACAAATGTAAATCTCATTTTCTTCTTTAACAACCTGTTCCAGGTGAAGTAGATGGACCAGTCCACTTCTCCCTTCCACTACATTTCTGCTATATGTAACCAAAGACATTCACCCTCCATCCCAATTTATGTGATGCTCTTTCCTTTTTTTAGTTAGTCTAAAAATGGATGACACATTTCTATATTTAGTAACAGTTTAACTTTATAGTTATCATTTTACCTCCAGTGAGATGAGTTATAGCCAGTAGCCACACAAATATATATGGCTTCTTTAGACCACAAGTTTCAAAAATCTTCCTTTCATTCTTAACTCAGTCAAACACCTTCACATAAATTGGGACAAAAGGAGTATTATTTAGTGAGTAGATGCCATTTGTTGCGATTGAGCTAGCTTTGCTAGTTTCAATACAAGAGTGACATCACCTTGTACCTTTATAGGAAAAACAAAAACAAAAGAAGAGTTCATTGCAAAAGAAAAGGCCATCCTGGAAGGAAAATGATTCCAGGCTGCATATGGTGGTGGCCTATTTGGAAGTAAAGGAGCTCAAGATGTTATGACAACAAAAGCAACCCCATCCAGAAGATGAAGCATAATTGTATTCAATTTTTGCATTTTTGGTGTTACGAAAAGTATATAGTTGATACAGGGACTCTATAACAGTTTCTAGAGTCTCTTTAGATATTTTTGCTAGCTAAATCTGGATGTAGCTTGTGATTATCTCTGTCTTTGGAATCAATACAAATGTTACCTTATCAAAAAAAGAAGAAAAGGCTGTCCTTGATCTGATGCTTTGAAGGTTTTGGGAAGCACGTAACTTGCTTTCTCTGTTCTTATTAAGTTACACGGACCTCTCACTAATATAAATTGTTATGAAGTTTGTTGTGTCTTTCTTCCTGCTTCATGTCATGCTCAAGCAGATGGGTAAGATTATCTGATACATGCTATATAGAGCAAAACACATAATTATATTACGCAATAAAGGGCAACATGTGTGGATTTTCTCTTGCTGATTTACATACATGCAGGTGATAAATAATAGTAAAGTGATGCGTGTTGGAAAAATTCTGTTGCTGAATTCCCTTCTTGGTATAACATGTTCTTGTCACTGTGGCAGGGTGTTGGCAGATGGTCACATCCCTTGGGCATGTGAGGCCTTTTCAAAGCTGCATGGTCAGATGTTTGCCCAAGCACCAGCCTCGTTGTGGTAATTAATCTTTTTATTTACCTATGTCAAGATCTGTTATCTATATGTGATGCTATCTAATCCATACACCTGTATTGTGCCTTTGCTTGGTGCATCCAAGATCCTGTATATTTTCCAGAAAGAAGGTACTCTGTTTTCTGTTGAACAGTGAACACTAAGGGGTCATTTGGTTGGGAACAAGTTATCTCAGGAGTAGTTATCCCTAGGATAACTTATCCCACCATGTATATGGGATAACTTATCCCATCACCATCATATAAATGGCGGGATAAGTTATCCCAAACATGACAATCAAACAAGATAAGAAAATTTCTATCCCAACACTATTTTCTTATCTTATCACTATATAATTTTATCCCTCACACCAAACGGCCCCTAATGATATGTATTGGAGAGTTGGTCGATCACAGTGCTTTTTTTTGGAATTTCTGAGTTTATCTTATTTACTTTTTTGGGGTGGCTCATTTATCTTTACTTAGTGTATAACAATATAGCAAAGTGGTTAGCAAATTTATTGTTGGCATCACATAAATGCATGTTTTCTCGGATCTGACGAAGCAGTAATAGTATTTCAGCAAACGTCTAGACATTTAATGATAGACTGGTTTTACTTCAGATTGCTGATTTGGGTTTATCTCAATACGTGATAATTGCTCACAATCTACAGTATCATGCTGTCATGTACTCTAATGTTGCTCATCATTAGTGTAGCTTTTATGTATTGTCTAATATTTAATACAGCAGGTGTTGGAGATTATTCATGATGAAGCTGTGGAACCATGGCCTTGTTGATGCGCGTACAATTAACAATTGTAACCTAATATTAGAGCAGTTCCAAAGCCAAGACAGCGATTCTACTAGAAGTTGAATACCCATTTGACAATTTGTTACCATCTAGCAATGGATTTGGTAGAGATGCAGCTTTGTGACTGGAGCTGCATCTTGGAATTTTCAACATCTGCTTCTCTAATGTTATTGTGGCTAGATGACTCTTCTGTATTTTAAGAGTAATATATGCTAAATTAATGTTTTATAGGGGACATATAGAGGCATCTGATGTTCTAAATTGGAAATCAATGATTCACATTGTTCAGACGCTCTGAATTCTGATATATCTTGAATCTGATTTTTTTTTCAATGTCTGACTCCCTCTTTACACCTCAAGGAGATTATGCTTGTTTATAGAAAGTGATTAAATCCTTTTTATATAAAATGTAAACTATCCTCACATCTAGTATTTATCCTCACTTCAACAAATAGTGTGTTTTCATTATCTTTACCCTTACTGATCTAAAACCCTTATGCAGTCTGCCAATTAGATTCAGAATGTTCTCAACTCACACAATTTTGTTCCTAATTCTCGTTGCCGGTGTTGCCCGCAAAACGAGATTCACTAAATTTTTGTCAGAAGTCTATCAAAAAGTTTAAAACGAAGTATTTTTTCCGTTCTTGAGGTATATTTTTTTCTTTTTTTGCAAAATATTAGAACGAATGCTTGGATTTAGGTTTCTTAATTGTGGTTTCAATGACTTTTTGGAGAAGACAATTTTTTTTAATGTTTGTATAAGGTTAAGGAGGTCCATGCTTTAAGTTATTATACTCTTGGTGACGCAAATTTCTGCATCATTCCAATTTCCAACAAGCAAAAAATGTCTTTAATTCTGCAGTCATAATGTGGTAAAGAAAAAAGAAATTTTTTTTAACATAAACAAGTGGAACCAACTGTTAATGTCAATTTTTCTTCTTTTTGTAATTGCTTAAAAAAAAGAAGATGAAACAATTAGCTACACACAAAAAAAATCAGAAATGAAGGACTAGATATGCACCTATTGACCACTACTTTTTTTTTATTATAAATTTCTCTCTAAGAGCTCCCACCTTTTTGTCTCTCGCTAAATTGTGTTCACAACCTTCAAGTTGAAAGTGAGTCTTACCATCCGAGCAACTCCATCTTGTTTATTACCCACTACATAGTTATAGGAAGATGAAAATATAAGTGTGGCATAAAGACAAATTCTTATTTGAATTAACATATAAATTATGATTTTTCTAGTAGCCTACTCCACTATAAGATTGGTTTTATGTTGGATGTTAGCCAATAATATTTCTTTTCTTCTATTGAAATTTGGAATTCACTCTATTTCTATTCTTACAAAACTCGGATCTTGTCAAAATTGTAACATGCATATCTACAATTAGGCGATCTTCTTATTTGAGTGCTATATTATTTTAGTTAAATTCTTAGACTCTCTTTTTTGTCTTCTTTAGTTTTTTCAATTTTGACTTCAACAAATAGCCTGAATGTGATTGATGAATAGTTGGCATGGCATTGTATGATAGTACTAATTTAAAACATTTTGATGATGTTTGATCTTGTATATTATGTTAAAAGATTTTATATATTTAATAATTTTGTTTTGATTTGCTTGTAATCTTCTTGGAGTAACAATCCAGGTTAACATTTAAGTTTACTTATAAGTATTTTTAATGACAGGTAATTATGCATACCATCTGAATTTCGTCTTCTAAAACCATTTGTTTTATCTGAATAATTCACTTATAGGTCACTAGATATATAGGATGAAATTGTTAATATGGTTAAAAATACGAGAATGTGTGATGAAAAATTTTGACATCTTGTAAAGAAATATTTCATTCGTCACGAATTTTAGAAAAGATTAAATTATTCAAATTGTAGAATGTTTATAGATCTCATCACATATTACTGATCATAGTTTGATTACTTCACTAGTTAAGATGACGTTCTAAGACTCAAAGTTTCACTTTAGGATGGGGTGATGTAACGATCGATATAGAGGTGTTATATTACTCAACGGTGTGAATGATGATCTTGTACGCTATAGCAACCTACACACTGCTTCTTCCTTTTTCCTCGTAGCGAACATATTCAAATGATATCAATTACTACAAGTTGGTTGGCTCGTAAGCACACAATCGTTCAAATTCATCAACACTTAAAGTATTCACAAAATCCAACTCAACATTATGCTTCTCTTCTCCAATCTTGCATTGGTCGAAAAGCAGTTGAGCCTGGAAAGCAGCTCCATGCGCATCTATGCCTCACGGGTTTAGGCTACAACATCAATTTAGCAACAAAGCTTGTTAATCTTTATAGCGTTTGTGACAAATTGCCGAATGCCCATCACCTGTTTGATAGAATTCCTAAAGGAAATATTTTTCTTTGGAATGTTTTGATTCGTGGGTATGCTTGGAATGGACCGTACGAGGCTGCAATTTCTCTGTATTATCAAATGATTGATTATGGGCATGTGCCTGATAATTTTACTTTTCCGTTTGTACTTAAAGCGTGCTCGGCCTTGTCTGCGATTGAAGTGGGGAAGGATATACATGAATATGCCAAGAGAACGAAGTGGGATAAGGATGTTTTCGTGGGTGCTGCTCTTATTGATATGTATGCTAAATGTGGTTGTGTTGGTAGGTCAAGGGAGGTGTTTGAGGATGTCGTTGAGAGGGATGTAGTTGTTTGGAATTCAATGCTTGCTGCTTACTCGCAAAATGGTCACCCTGAGGATTGTTTGGATTTATGTGGTGAAATGGCGTGCGGAGGTGTTAGACCCACGGAGGCGACCTTGGTGACTGCAATTTCTGCTTCTGCTGATGTTGCAGCCCTTCGACAGGGGATGGAGCTTCATGGGTATAGTTGGAGACAGGGTTTTGACTCTCTTGACAAAGTGAAGACAGCACTTGTGGATATGTATGCCAAGAGTGGGTCTGTGAAGGTTGCTAGGATCTTGTTCGAAGGACTCCAGGAGAAAAGAGTTGTTTCTTGGAATGCTATGATCACTGGATATGCAATGCATGGTCATGCTAATGCAGCACTTGGTCTGTTTAATGAGATGGTTGGCAAAGCTAAGCCGGATCATATAACTTTTGTAGGTGTTTTATCAGCTTGTAATCATGGAGGTCTGTTGAGTGAAGGGAGGATGTATTTTGATTCAATGGCAAAAGATTATGGAATTGAACCAACTATTCAGCACACTACATGCATGGTTGATCTCCTAGGTCATTCTGGTCGCTTAGATGAGGCTTATGGACTTATAACGCAGATGAAAGTTATGCCGGATGCTGGTGTCTGGGGTGCATTTCTTAATTCATGTAAAATCCATGGTTATGTGGAATTTGCAGAATTGGCATTAGAGAGGTTGATTGAGCTTGAGCCTGATGATGCAGGCAATTACGTGATCCTTTCAAATATTTATGCCCAAGCAGGTAGATGGGAAGGTGTTGCAAAGCTTAGAGAACTAATGAACGAAAGAGGTGTAAAGAAAACCACCGCATATAGTTGGATTGAAGTTAAAAACAAAGTACATGCATTTCTCTCTGGGGATACATCTCATCCTATGTCTAACAAGATTTATGCAGAGTTACAGAGCTTAGGAGCACGACTAGTACAAGCTGGCTATATCCCAAACATTACGCCTGTTTTCCATGATGTGGAAGATGATGAGAAGAGCAGAATGGTGTGCAGCCACAGTGAAAGGCTAGCGATTGCTTTTGGACTAATTAGTACACCCCCAGGGACAAAGCTGTTGATCACCAAGAACCTCCGAGTTTGCGAGGACTGTCATGTTGCAATCAAGTTTATCTCAAAGTTAACAGAGAGAGAAATCACTGTCAGAGATGTCAATCGCTATCATCATTTCAAAGATGGCATCTGTTCTTGTGGAGATTATTGGTGAAATGGGTTCAGGAATTTCAGTGTCTACTAGGGTGATGAGAAATCAATTGCTTCTTGGAGAAGAATTGGCTCATCTAACTGAGTAAAAGTGTAAATCATGATTGTTTTGTCAAAAAACAAAAACTCCTTAAATGTGACCATGTTCTTGTTCTCAATAAAGAAGCAGCTCCAATTGGTTTCAGCAAAGAGATATTGGGTTTTGGCCAATGTAAAGTGCAATCTTTTAAGGGATATGATAAGACGTTGAAGAGAACTCGGATTTGTTCCTGCAATTAATCTCTGTCGCCACTCCTCACTACTCGTCAAACATCATCTACTCTTGCAGATCATACATAGATTCGCCATGCAGCTTCAGAAATACATCTTAAAATGAGACAGTTAATGACCTTACCCTTGGTGTATCTCAGTGGTGAATTACATTGAGAATTTGAAACTGCAGGCAGCTCGTATGCGGACATGTTTTTAATAGGTTTGCTGATTTTTTTCATGCATAGGATAGAGCCCACATGGTCAAATGTCCAAAAGACCAATTCTTCTATTCATATTCTCATCCAAAGTGTTCATCTCAAACAGTTGGTCATGACCGAAAGCCTATATACTTTGAATAACATCTCCAGTCTCCAAGCAAACCACTGGCCATGTTATTTAGCAGCTACTAAATCAGGTATTATTTGTTCACCACTATTTCCTTTTTATTTTTTGCCCTTGGCATAAAGATCGATACATTCTTATACTTAGAATTTTTTCATATTTACTTTTCACTTTTGCCCTTGTCGAGATGTTAATTAAGGAGTTGACATGATTTGTGTGGACCTTACCAAGTATTTTTTATTTTTTACACATTGAGATCACATGTCAAAAATCCTCTCTATTTCTTGAATACCATATACAATGCTTCATAAATTGTTGTACCATAAATATACACCAGGAAAGTGGTCCAAGAAGTCCATTCCAGAGGAGCTAAGCCACATTTGACTAGAATTTTCAAGTCTTTAGATTTCTGCCCTGCATGATTGATAGTTTGATTTGGTGCAAGCTGGGGCTTTCTGTCCAGTCGCATTTTGATGTACAGATTTCTTACTTTGGTAAATAAAAAGCTTCTAAGTACCAAATAACTATCTAGTTCGGTCATTGGGTTGCTTGCTTGTGACATCTCAGGTATATCTGCAGGCACTTATTGAACATATCTATCTTCCCATCAGACTAGCAGTAGAAAGATATGCTGGGGTAGATATTTACCTTTAAATCAGTGAGCTCCCTCCAGAATAGGCTAAGAAGAATCGTATCTTGATATGTTACTATATTAGAGGGATTTGTACCAAAGATAGTCTCTGATCGCAAGGGGTGTCCACAAGACATGTAAAGCTCCCTAAATGACTGCCTTTTTGAATCTATTCTAATTTCAGCGTAAGGGTAAGGTTTTGAGGCTGATCTTTCTCTTTCTTTCTTATTTACTTTGAAAGCAGAACTCTGGGAAAACAGCCAGTCTCCTTAATCCTAAATCTTGCTTCTCTTATAGGTTTTGTTCTTGTCGCGTTTTTGGCAGATTTTAATCATCCAAAGGCTGTCGAAGATATCTTCAAAGCAGTTACGCCTACTTCCTAGTACTCCAAAGTTTCCATTTCAGTATCTTTTGGAATGATTTCTAGCATATAGCAACAAAAAAGAGTTGTTGTCAAATATCTTCTTTCACTTCCGTTCAGAGCTATTTATGACCATATAACTATCCAGACTAACATTATGAAAACAGGAAAATATTTCTTTAAGACATCTAAAGCACCGTTTGTTTTCCTACAATAGTTCTTAAGTAATTGGGTTTTTTGGAACTCTGTGAAGATTTTGACTAGGTAAAATAGGGTTTAGATAATTGTAAACTAGAGAGTGTTTAAACATTTATACAGCCAAAAAAAACAAAAGCATATAGAAATGCGAGTCAGTTATTAAAATAACGTATGATACAGTTATAATGTGCTAACAATTTAATTAGCTTGCTTTAATTATGTGCTAGTTAACAATTTAACATCCCTTGCTTTCCAGGAGTCTGTTGTATAAGGAAGACTTTGATTTCCCAAGTTTTGATCCATAATCTACAAAACAATGTTCCCCTTCTGTTGTTGATGCTGTCCACCGCGAATGTAACAAATGGTTGTACTTCAATAGTCGAGAACATTTTCATTTTATCAGGACAGAGCAACATGTCTGGATGTGGCAGAGTCTTTAATCTAACCAGACCAGTCCAGCAGGTACGGTTAATTTGACTTGGGGCGGTGTGGTTCTGCCTGAATGTTATCCCATCAATCCATCAATCCTTCGACTTAGTGCAGAACTTACATAAGCTACATTGTTAGCTTACACACACAGCCAACATTTTTTGGCAACAACGTTTATAAATCTTTATACAGTATTTATACTCTATAAATAATGTATCTACCTCCCTTGTATCCAAGTGTATAACACTTGGAAAATTTTCAGATTCAATTCTTGAAGATATGAACTCATAAACCTAAACCGAATCGAATGCAAAAACAGGGGTGGTGTAGTTATTTTTTAAGTCTCCTTGAACTGTAAATTGTATGTCCCACCCCCACCCCCGACGCGCCATAGATGGAGCTGCTAGTTATTTACCGGATCTTTTATTTTATAGATCTAACTCTTAGTGTAGACATGCTGGTATAGGTGCACAATGAAAGACAACTTTCAATGTAGCATTGGAAAGTTAAATTTGACTCGTACAGAGTTAACAATAAAAAATTCTGCTCATGGCTTATAAAACCAATCTCTCTGTGCCCAAACCTAACATGAGATATTTCTCATACTGATATTATAATAGTAATATGCTTTCATAACCTTTAAACTGTCAGTACGTAAAGTTAACTTTTACATATATTGTATTTGTATTCCTTGCCTTAACCCCCATACGCGGCGCAGATGCTGGGTTACAGCATCTTTTTTCTCTTTATCTGTAACCTCATTGGTTAGACCTAGGGGCAGAGCTAGTTGCCCGTATGCCGGTTCAGTGTAGATTTTTGAACTCAATTATTATCATTTAAAATCATCATTGATGACAAGGGAAACCGCAGCTGCTATTCTTTGGGTGCGCACAGGGTAAAAAAATCATCATTATGAAGTCAGAACCCATAAAGTTGAAATCCTATCCTCGTCTTTGGTTAACAGTTATCAATGCAGTAATCAAAAGTCAAATTGACTCGTATCGTACAAAATAGCTAAATAATTTCTCCTTACGGATGATAAACAAATATTTCTGTGTTAATCAGGGAATCCAAAGTCTTCATTTTTGCAGCAGCCATTCTATATATATATATTTAGGTGTTACCCAATCAATCTATCTCTGTTCTTCACTCCAACTGATGGCTGCTCAAGAATCAAACTCCATTATCATCGATTCTTCGCAGTCATCAGAGGAAAAGGATGCTGCTCTAATAAACGAGCTGCCAAGTGCTCTGTTCTGGGATGCCATGGAGATTAGAAAATGGAAAGGGTTCTGGTTCGAGCCCGGCCTAATCAAATGTGCCATGAAATTTAGTTCCTCCTTCCAAGCTGGGAACGATGATGTTTTATTAGCATCAGCTCCAAAGACCGGTACGACTTGGCTCAAAGCCCTCTGTCTCTGTATCTTGCACCAGAATCATAACATACCAGAAAACGAAGATCTGTTAACTCAAGACAATCCACAATTTCATGTTCAGACCATTGAATCCTCCATTTACTCCACAAAACCAACTCCTGATCTGTATTCCACGCCATCTCCAAGACTTCTCCACACACATTTGCCTTTTAATCTTCTTCCAAATTCCATCATGAATTCCAACTGCAAAATTGTTTGCGTAGCCCGGAACCCAAAGGACACATTGGTCTCTCTATGGCATTTTTTCAATTCCATTTTCAGGGGAAATCAAGAACCTTATCCCCTGGAAAAGGCGGTTGATGAGTTTTGCACAGGCGTTCATCAATATGGTCCGTATTTTGAAAATGTGTTGGGTTATTGGTCAGAAAGTCAGAAAAGGACTGAGAAGATACTGTTCTTGAAATACGAAGAGATGATAAAAGACCCGAAAGAGCAGGTGAGGAAACTGGGGTTGTTTCTTGGGAAGCCATTTGAGAAGGAAGAGGATTTGGAAAAAATTGTGTGGAGGTGTAGTTTGGAGAGATTGAGGAACTTGGAAGTGAATAAAAATGGCTCTGTTATTTACGGAGTTCCGAATGGTAGTTATTTTAGGAAAGGGATTGTTGGCGATTGGAAGAATTACTTGAATCTTGAAATGGAAGATCGAATTAATCAAACAACACTTCTCAAGTTTAAAGACTCTGGATTAGAGTTCGAGAATTGATATCCCTTTCTTTGTTTTTTCTTTCATTTCTTTTCTGTTGTTCATGAATACACGCGGAACAAAAAAACGTATTTCTTTGGTGTCATAGGTTACCTTTCTATCTTCCTCCCGTGTTCCCAAAGGGATGCTAGTTAAAGAGCAGGTCCCTGGTAATGGGGTTCTATGCTCTTGTGAGTTGTATTTGATTTCTCAATTTTGTAGCTGGTTATAAGTACTTGTTTCTATTTCGTTTTCCTTCTCTTCCTCCTTTTATTTATTTAAATATTAAAAATTGCAAAAAAATAGATCCTTGTGTTATATTTACTAGTGTCAATTTCGATTAGAGAGGCGAATCTACTCTTGTCCAAAGGGAGTCAATTAACATCTTTTCGTCGAAAATTCTAACTAAGCAACTCAGGTGGATCATGCTATGTTTTGTGTTGTATTGTATTTGTAGCTTGTTTTCAATTGCGAGATTTATTCTAGATCAACTCACCCAAAATAGTTTCTACAAAAGTCACAAGATCATTAGAGATTTTGTAGACAACTCTCGTAAAATCACTATTTGCCCTTCTGCAAACCAATGTGTACCTTATAAAATATTTTTCTGACAAAAATTGAAATGTTAATTAAAGAATGTGCCTAATTATATTCGTGTTTGTGTTTGTAACAAAACAACAAGCTAAGTCAAGCCCAAGTTGAGACAAGGTAATGAGTAAGACAGAAGACAAAAAGCAGAAAAAAAAATTAAGATTTGTAACTTGCGTTTATATTACACTGTTCCTCAATTTGAAAAGCAATTATTTTACCAAAACAAATTTATTAGTAATTGTAAGTATGGTATACATACTTTAATCATCTGACTTATTTTCTTAATCTCTCAATAGATTAACATATGGATCAAACCAAATACTTTTGAGTTTTGATAGACTTAAAGCATTTCCCTTAATTTTCTCAACAAGATAGCGAATTTCATCGTTAGTAAGCGGCTTCTAATAATAATAATCAAGGCCAGCATCCATGAATGATTTCTTCTCTTCTTCTTTTTCTTGGGAAGTCATCCCCACAATCAAGCTACAAACATGCATATCTCGAAGTTCCTTAGTTGTCTGCATAATAAAAAAAATTTCTTACTTGAATTATAGGTAAAAAATTAAGATGTTCAAATAAAAATTAAATTACGATTTATATAAGCTTACTTGATGACCATTCATTACTGGCATATATAAATCCATCAAAATCAAATCAAAGCATGCACCAGAGTGATGAGCAAGAATCGCTTCTTGGCCATTTTTCGCCTCATGAGTTTCCACACCAAATTTCATTAGAAGTGCTTTGAGGATCATTCGAGTTATAGTGTCATCATCTACTATAAGTGCTTTAAGTTTTTTCACAACATTGGAGTTAACAGACGCTTCGAATGATAACATTTTTTCTGAGATTAAAAACTTGAATGCAAAAAGTGTCACTTCCTCTATCCCAAATCATATGATATAATCCAAATTTCGAGAGTCAAACTTTTTTTATTTTGACTGTAAATTTGGACATAAAATCTGTGTTTTTTGATGTTTTTTTTACATATTTTGAAACTAAATAAAAGATAATCCAAATCACATAATCTAAATTTTGAGAGTCAAACTTCTTTATTTTGACAGTAAATTTGGACATACAATCTTTGTGTGTGTGTTTTTTTCCCCACATATTTAGAAATGAAATAAAAGGTATTATAAGTCAAAAGAATTAAAAATTAAAAATTAAAAATGTTTAAACTGCATAAGAACAAATCACGGTAAAAAAATTTCTTATTCAACTCTCAAAATTAAAACTATATCATATAAAATGATTGAAGTTTTTGAAATTATTATGCAAATCCTTTAATTAGTTATTTTGAAATCAGATTATACTTTTCAGCAAATAAATTTGTGATCTATTCTTCTTATGTATAAATCTATGTATTAGATTTGATATCTTTATTTCATGTCAAATAACAAATGAAAAAGGGTCGAAATGTCCCTAATAGATTGGATAAATGTTTCCTAATATAATAATAGCTAGGCTTAGCAAGCGTTTGATCATAGATTCTCTAATATTTTTGGCAAGTTATTTTTAGGTGAAGTTTCACTATGCGTTTGACCATAGATTTTTGGAGAAATATTTAACTTTTTTAAGAAATATGATTTATATCCATAAGTTCTAAAAACTATTAAGAATATCCATACATTTGTATTATAAATTTATAATGAATATGTTATGTGAAAATTTATGACAACAAACACAATTAATATGAATTTATAAAAATATATGTAGATTTAAAAAAAAAGAAGGTATTTTAGAATACCTATATTAACTAGTGATTTTCTCGGGTACCAGCCTTGAACCCTTGATGTGGTGGCCACAAGAAAACTCCTTAACCAATCAACCAGTGTGACAAAGAAGGCTGGTCGAAACAAAGCAAGTTTTTTTTTTTGAAGCGGAGGGTTAGGTGGGATGGATAGGAATTATTCCTTTTTCAATAAAAATAATATAAGTTATTTTTTGGAGGTGTGGGGGGGATGAAGTAAGAATATTTTAGAAAATTTTATAAAAGATTTTTTTTTAAAAAAAAGGGTGGGGGTACGGTGGTGCAGTCGAGTAAAAAAATATTTTAATTTTATTTTTTTAGGATTGTGGCACTTTAATCTTTAACTTTTAACTAATACTAATATATATTTTTTTTATATAGGTGGAATGTTTTGTCCATGAAGAGTGTCATGTGGTATTTTTTTTTTAAATAAAAAAGAGTGTAGTACACACCATCAAGAGAGTGTAGTAAAAGAGAGAAGTATTTCTCAAATTAATGGGAGATAATTTAGATATAGAACTAACTCTCAATAATTTAGGTATGAAAACTCAAATAAAGGACATAATATGTGTTTTTGACACTTCACTCATTTTAAAAAGTTCCCAATTTAATTTGATCCAAATACTCATTTTTTTTCTAGTATTTGAGAATTTTGATTATTTGACAAAAATATTTGTCAAATAGTGACAAGTTGTACGGACAAGCAATATTTGTCAAATTCCCCCCCACCCCCCCCACACAAACACTTCTGA